AGACACAAATCATAATCCAAGAAAAATAATGATCGCCAAATGGTCTCCTACTGATTCAAGTCTTGTAATTGTTGACAACTACAATATATATTATATTCCTACAGTCGCAAAACCAAATCATGCTAAACAAATAACTTTTCATGGATCTGAAGATTTCTATAACGGCATCCCTGATTGGGTGTATACAGGAAAGTCTATTTATTTAAAATTAGTGATATCCGACATTAAAAACTTCGCACGTGAAAAAAATAATCTACATTTTTTTATGAAATCATCTTTATGGTCGTATTTATACAAATCAAACATTTGTATTTGTATGGGTAGACACTCTATATAATATTATGTAGGTATCTATCTAAATCTCATATTTAGTTCGTCTAACTTTCAGAATATTTTAAATTACCGTATGATCTAGAATATAATATGCTAGGCTATAATATATTTTAGTTGGATTTTATCTGATCTCAGTGATATACCTATTAAAAAGTCTGAAATAATGAAGTGCGTGTAACTTTTAGTATGGGTGATAAGTCAGTCACCCACTAGCCACTCGTGTAAGAAAAATAAAATCAATAAATTCACTTCACCCCACCTATCACAGTAATAAGACGTATTAGTCAATAATACTTCAGAATATCTATTAATAATAATACTAAATAATATAGAAATATAGAACTTAAAATACATATGTATATATAAATATAAAGTATATTTATTCACAAAAGATTTTTCTTAAATAATTTTAACAATATCATAATACAACACTTTTATTGTATAAGTATTGTGATAATTTTTTAAACGTTTTAGAAGAAATCTTTGGATCAAATTCTGCAATGTGGTTTTCTACTCAGGGAAAACATTTGGCCTACGCGACATTTAATGAAAAATTGGTACCAAAGGTATATTTACCAACATATGGCATACCAGATACTATGTACGACCAATACAGCAGAATTTTCAGTTATCGTTATCCAAAAGTATTATATCAAAATAGTATACTTCTAAATTTAATAATATAATAATTTAAACAATAAAATATTCAACATTATAGGTTAATGACCCTAATCCAACTGTTGAATTATTCGTTCAAGTTCTAAATATAACAAACGATGAACTCATATCTATACCAGTAAAACCATCAAAACAATACACGTAAGTACCGGTAACAGATGATATTCAATACCTAGTCTGTGTGTGTACTGCGTACGGTGTACCTATATACATAAGTTATAATATACATGATACGGGTATAACACGATTACGAACATTTTACTTTTTTTTACAACACAATTGCGAACGAATGTCGCTTATCGATGAATTTATTTCTTTAGCTGAAAACCGAACGATGGCGAATGTTTTTTTAGGCTACGTTGTCAAGCTTATATTTCAAAATGTATATATTATATAAAAATAATATAATGTGACATTATAACTACGTTACAAACTAAAATAAAATTATACAAAATAATAGGTAATGGTTAAAATGTTGATTGATTAAAAAAAAATTCTATATGAATATTAATAATACTGTTCAATAATGTTTAATAAGTTACAAGCAAATAAATTTAAAACATTTAAATTGTTTTTAAAATGTTTTCTCTATATTTTTATTTTTTATAAAATTTTTTTCCTTGGTAGGAATTTTCAATTTTTTATAAATATAAAATTAGATTATTTTGGATTTTATAATCATTTAAATTTTTTATGTTGATTCAATTCTAGATTTATCTTTTTTGGCCATAGGATTATGTACTTTGTTTTCAATAGAATTTATTATTGTCAAAGTTCGTGCCTGTGTTTATTTTAAAACTGAAAACATTGTGTGTGCTGGTGGTTTTGAAACTGACTTAAAATAATTTATAATATAAAATCTTTTTTATAATATAAATATAATTTACTAACAACGAATCTGGCAATGCTGTACCGAAAAAGTCAGGTAAAAAGTTCTCAATCGTGATGCGAGAAAAGGTGCGTTTGCAATCGTTCCATACGCAATCGTATGTCACCCACATGATAGGTACATAATTAATTTCTCAAATACCTACTTCTATTCTAAAATCGATAAATATAAAACACTAAACCAGGAGACTGGCAACTTTATAGGCGAACTGAAGATCGGAAAAATCAAAATTATCTCACTAAAAAAGTCAAAATTTTACTCGAAGAATAGAGAATAGCATCATACCAAAATTACCTCTCTACAATTCATCTTTCGTACTCAAACTTATGGCTCGCTACCAGATGTTTAATGATATCAAACTCCGGTGTTATACCTCCGTTAAAATTGGATAATGTCAACAAATGTTGAAAAATGTGAAGTTTTTGCCAAAATTCTAGAAAATACTTTCTTGCCGAACAATATTATAGATATCGAAACAGAAGCTGCGGTGTACAACAAACTAGCTAAACCCGATATTCTTCCTCAAAACATACTTTCGTATACCACTCCTACTGAAATCAATGAAATAACAAAAAGATTACCAAACCAAAAAACTCTAGGACATGACCTCATCACAAATAATTTTTAAAAAAAAGCAACTATATATGTATATATTTATTTTATTCAATTCATTTTTAAAAATCGGTCATTTTCCAACTCAATGAAAAAAAGCTTTAATTATAATGATAAAAAACCTGGAAAAGATAACACAAACCCTAACAATTACCGCTCAATAAGTCTAATATCTTCAGTTTCCAAAATATTCGAAAAAATCATATGCACCAGGTTAATAAACCATTTAGATTCAATTGAAGTTATTCCGCATCATCAATTTGGTTTTACCAAAATATTCTACTAGACAACAACTTCTCCGCCTAACCGATCACATAAACAATGGTTTTGAAAAAAAACTTCACACTGGTGCAGCTTTTTAGATATTGCACAAGCATTTGATCATATCTGGCACAACGGGCCAAATGCTCAAATTAAAAACATTAAATACCCATCCGCCAATCTTCAATATAATTAAATCCTTCCTCCGTGATCGTTGTTTTTCGCATAAATGACACCAACTCAGTTACAAAAAATAACAGCTCGTGTTTCCCAAGGGTCCAAAATTCTTCCCCTACTTTTTAATTTATACATCGTGGATTTCTCTACTACATCTAACCAAAAACTTTCTTTTTACGATGACGATAGTGTTGTCTATTCAAGCTCCAGTGATGCTCACATTGTCCACTGAAGATATGCAGTAGTGGGTGAAAAAATAGAATATTATCTTAAACCCTTCAAAAAGCATAGCAGTATTATTCACAAGTCGTCATTCCAAAACCCCTGCTTCTAGTGATTAATGGCAACAACATATCCTGGTTTCCAACTTTAAAATATCTAGGAGTTATCTTAGATAAAAAATGAACTTAGAACCCCCACATTTCTTCAAAATTACAAGGCTACCAACGACTTAAAATTCTCTACCCTTTAATCAACCATCAAACCACCTTAAGTTGGAATTGCTCCCTGCTTCTTGACAAGCAAATTCTACGAACATTAGTTCTTTTTGCTGCCCCCATTAGGGGAAACTGTACCAAAACCTACATAAATAAGATTCAAGTCTTCCAATTCAAGATATTATGTATAATATCCAACGCGCCTGGGTTCATCAGAAACGAAGCACTTCATACCGACTAATAACTCCCAACATTTAAAACCTACATACAAAATATCACGATAAATTTTTTTGGCCAACTTAATAACGCCAAAAGCGCGAATCAATTCAAACTCTGCTATAAGCCTACTCTCCGGCGTCTCAAGCGTGGATGATGCATGATGCCCTATCTCAACACCAATACATATATCAATAAAAAAAGGAAAATAAATATTACACCTAGACAAATTAATTATTATTTCTTGTATCATTATATATTTATTTATCGATGTAAATTACTGAATTTTTTTGTAAATATTGTAATTAATTACGCTTACCAATTATTCTAAATGTTAAATATTATTATTATATTATCAATAAGTTTTGTTATGTATTATATTATATATATTACATATTATATTATATTAATATAAATATTATACATATTATACAGACATTTATCGTTAACAGTATATTAAATCGTAATGACATACATTAAAGTTCTACTCGCTAATAACCGATGGACAGTTCCCACCGATTGTAATATGATATTTATGATTATTGTTAATATTAACGGTATACGTGTAATATCATATAATATGAATGCTGAATATGCAACATCTCTTTCCTTAAAAAAAATCAATAGTATTTTGTGTATTACTTAATTACTATGTTAATGAGTTAGTAAGTTTAAATTACATTTATTATAATCACTTGGAGAATATCGCTGAGGTAGTTTTCTAGATCTAATTGGTCTGGGTGTTTTATTTATTATTGTAGGATCAGGATTTTGTTTTGCACCTACTGTTTCGATATTTTCAGTATTTTCATTTGTTTGTCTAGCGGGTGTAAGTGAAATTGAATTATTCGCTGGTATAAGCGATTTATCAATGAGTTATTGATCATTGTGTCTCTTTCAAATAATTCCGTAATCGAGCTTTATACATCGTGTGTATTGAAACTAATGGATTTGATAATTTTACCCTTTTGCCATTTATTGTTATTATTCCTATAATCTCTAGCTAAAACATTATCGCGTGAATTAAATGATACTATCCTATTACCACTATTGTTTATTTGTGATATTTGTCGTTCAAAAACGATAGTGGGATCTGCAACAATAATGTCATCTTGGAATATACCTATGCCCTCAATACTTGCTGCGGAAGTTTCCATAGCTTTTTGAAACTCCCCTACTGATGACTTTATTTCAAAAGGGTTACGTGTTTAGCTAAATAAACCTTTATGTGTATTAATATTGTTATATTTTCGATCAGATTCTTTAATAACCATTTGTTGGTATGCGTTTTTTAAATATATTTTCGAAAAATATTTTGAATCACTAACATTTGCGTTTAAATGTTCTATTTTTGGAAGAGGGTATTCAGTCCATTCAAATACCGGATTTATTGTTATTTTAAAATCACCACAAATTCTAACCGTTCTGGTTTTAATATTGGTACTATTGGAGTTGCCCATTCGCTGTGGTCGACGGAAACTAAAATGTTTGACTAAACGCTCAATTTCGGTTTTAGCTTTTCCCTTTAAGRGKGCTCCAGCGTATCATGTTTTAAGGAGTAATATTTAGGCAATTCACATAACATGAAYATTTKGGCTATGTCTATGTGTGAGTAGTAAATGAACATTAGTGTGTGTAATCCATTATCGCGTGCCACGGACATTCGGTCGTCGACAGTATTACGAATTCCCAGAACTACGTA